CTAGAGATGAACCAGATAGAAATGGCATTGTTTATTATTCTTTTCATTTAAAACAACACATCATCGTGTAGCTCAGGTATTAGGTCCCCTAATGTCACTGGCATCCTTGGACTTTTCTGACATCAACAAACCCAAACCTACGCACTTCGGCGCCGGGCTTTCCAGCTGGGTTTAAGTTTCTTCCCCCACAGCAGCAAGTGCAGCCGTGCTGTCGTGGTGGTTAAAGCGAAACACTTGGGGAATGAGGCGTTTTCGTAACGTCATTTATTTAGTCTAGATGAGAAATTTTGCTCTTTAAGAACAGGAAGGGTTCAGATTTCCAGAAGTTGGAAATCGAACCAGAGAATATTTGTTAACTGGGGAAGTTAATCACGTTTTTACTTATAAGGATAAGGCAAGGGAGAGGGTGGTGGAAAGCCCCGATTTGGCAGATTTTCTACTGCGGGAGCCTTCTAGACCTCGGATGGTTCCCTCCTGAAGGAGAACTGGCGCCCGCAATGGAAAGGGTGCGTTGCAGGGCGGCGGGGGCTAGTTCCCGACGGGACCGTCCAGCGGCCCGGTCTCTGCACCGTAAGGAAGTCTCCCTGACTAACTCCTGTTTACTTCTGGAAACTGCCAGGTCCCGACGTGAGGAGAGGGGTTAGGCCGGCGGGAGCCATCCCTGGGCTTGGGAAGTTGTCGGGTGGGCGGGAAGCAGCAGGAAGAGGCGGGATTCCTGCCTTTTGTCTCTCGGTCTTTAAACTGTAAGCGGGGGGCGCAGACGCCCACCCTCCTGCCAGATGCCCCCAGCGCGCCAGAGCGGGTCCGGGAATTCGCCAGGCGCGCCGGGGCGGGGAGCGGTAGGGTGGGGGCGGGGCTCGTGTTGGCCACGCCCACCAGGGGGTCTTTTAAAGGTGCCAGCGCTCCCCTGCTCCCGGCTCCCGGCTCCCGGACTCCCAGCGCGCTCCTTCCGAGTCGGCTTCGTTAGCTCCACCCGCGGTGCTTGGTCCTGCCTCGGATTCGAGTGAGTAGCGGCGCTGGGGGCGTCTCCGCCAACCCTGGGGGCGGGAGGGTCCCCACAACCTCCCAAGATCTTCTGGCCACCCTGCTGGCGCCCTCAACATCTCCTCTGACATCCCGATCATGGAACCCATTTAAGCGTCCCCCCAGCCTCTTCAACCTGCTCCCCGGTTCGCCCCCACTCCGGGACTCCGCTTAGCTGCCCGGCTCCCGGCGGCCGCCCCGGCTTTGTCCTCGGATCCTGGGCCCGCGGGCAGATAAATAATAGTGCGTGACCTCCATACCAGTTTGTCCCTACGGGTTTTCTGATAGGGAGGCGGGGTCGGGAGTTGCGCGTGGCTGCTATTCCGCCTTTACTAGCCTTGGGCCCCCCCGCTCCAGAGTCCGGTTCCCTCTCCGCCGAGGGGAAGGCGGGATCCGCGTCTCCAGGTCTCCTCTGCCTGGAGTGTGGTGCGCGCTGAGGGCGACCTTCCCAGTGGCTCGTTCGGAGTCCTGGGGGTGAGGTGGGGGGGCTCCTGCAGCCCGCACACCCCAGAATCCTTCCCCTGCTGCGGTACAAGAGCTCTTGGCATCCCTATTGTTCGGTGGTCTCTGCCCACCAAGCACCGAACCTTAAATGCTGAAGGAACAGCAGTGCAACGTCAGATCGATCACTCTCCCAGCTTTTTCCGGAACTTTCTACTATTCAGGTACAAATAGGGAAGCAAGAATGTTTGGTTGTGAAATTCTGCAACAGGTCCTGAAAATCACATCGTGGGTTCCGGAGCTCCACGAAGGCAACCCCAGGGGGAAGGGAGGGTTTCCAACTCGCAAGACACCCACCTCATCCCCCCCAAGCTAGGACGTTTGTTGAACGATATTTGTTTAGATGGTGACCCAAAATGTTTAACCTGTTTTATTTGCAGTCTGCAGACCAAGTACATTTTCATTTTTCAAATGCCTTTTAATTGGGGTAACTTTTTATATGCGACAGTAAGAATGGTCCCTTTAGTTCTTAACTTTTCTGATTAACCCGTCTTAAAGCTCCACCTACAAAATGCCAAGAATTCAAGTAGGACCACCATAAAGTTGGCTATAATTTGACTCAAATTTTTCAGTAAAGAGATGGGCGATAGATTCTAAAAGGGTGAATTTCATGTAATATCAAAACTGCATACCAAACTATAATCAATTTTATCAAATCCTCCATGGTCTTGCCCCACTGTCTTCTTGGTCATTCCTCTTTTCGGGTTGATTGCCACTGATACTTTATCAGTAGTTCTCAAGGTTCTTTTTACTCTATATTCTAGTTTCTTTTTCTCTGTAAGAGTGAAATTAGGTAGAGACAGCATCTGTATCCCATGAATCCTTGAAACTCACAGAACTTGCATGAGTGCCTTAAACACTGTTGGGCCAGAGGCAACACTGGTTGATTAAATAAATGAAGGAAGGAATGAGTAAGGTTCCAATTGTGGCGCACAAAGATGAACTTGGACTCAAGCAATATATACATCAGCAGGTTTGAGCTCAGGTTTCTATCATAAGTTTTTAATGGATTCCTCCAAATGTATTTAACAAATATTACTTGATACTGGTATCTGCTAACTACTACACTGAAAGCAGTACTCATTGGAGCTCTGTCCTGATTCAATTGCCAAATCATGGCATGGTGAGAAGGGCAGGACTGAAGCCAGTTGGGCCCAAATTTACATCCCAGCTCTAGCACACTGTAGGTTTGATGACCTTGAGTAAGCTACTCTCTGACCTCAGTTATTTCATCTTGTAAAATAGGTATAATAATCACAGACCTTGCAAAGTTGTCATCAGGCACATACACCCACTCACACACCAGCCCAGCCTAGAGAGGTTCATTGTAATTAGATATTGTTCTATGCTTTGTTGAATCTACGTGGAAATGGCTATTAGTGAAAGCCTCTTCCAGGAGATCTGTGACTCAGACAGACGGGAACACTATCTCTTAGGCCTTGCCTGGAGGCCAGCTCTCTTCCCTTTGCCGATATCCACAGGTTTCCTCAAGGCACCGCATCATTTCCTGGGCTGGTGTTTGCATGATATTTGTGTTCTAGTGGGTGGGGATCCCTGGACTCCCTGGTGACCTTGATTACCTAGGATAGTGCTGCTTAACTGTTTTTGTATCGTAGACCTTCCTGGCAGTCTGGTAAAAGTCTCTGGACCCCTTCTCAAAATGTTCTTAGGTGCATAAAATAAAGTACACGGTACCAAGTTCACCGATCCCCAGAATTTCAAGGGATCTGTGAACCCTTGGGTTCAGAACCCTGATGTAGGGAAGTTTTCTCAAACTGAATTGTGGAGGAGCTGGGCACAAGTTCTGATTGTTAAAACTTTTATGTTTTGGTGTAAGTCATAGAGGGAAAACCAACAGAAGTATATTGTGAATCACTTGTAAAGGATATCATCAGGTTCCTTGCTTTTTTTCTTACCATCTCATTGTGCCAACAGTACTACTAATTGTCCTTGACTCCTATGAAGAAGACACATACCATGTAATAATACATTAGGGCCAAAGGACTGCTCAGTTCACTATAGGAAAAAAAGGTTTCATGGTGGCTTCTCTCCCAAAAAAGAAAAGTGAAGAGAGAATCGAACCCTTATCCAGCGCACGACAGTACAGGAAATACCCAATTTAAAAAGAACCTGTCAGAGACATAGAAGCCAGTACTGTATTTGTGTTGCTAGCAGTGGCTTAGTTTTAGCGAAATACCAGTCAAATAAACTTAATATAGTTCATTTGAATTTTACTGGTATTAATTTTTAAGCTGAATTGATAGTTTTGTTTTGGTTTCACATTTATAAGCCACTTAGTATCTCTTTGCCTCAGCTTCCACACCCATAAAATGGGGATAATGAAAATGCCTACCTCAGTTTTTATGAGGATTATTAAATAAGTTACTATCAGTAAACTACTTAGCATAAGTAAAGCATATAGTAAGCTTTATGTAAGTAAATAATATATTACAATAAGTAAATAATAATGTAGTAATTATTTTTATGTATCATATGCAGGCAGTATTCTAAGTGCTTTGCATATATTTAATCTCGGAACTGCCTTATGATATAAATAAGCATATCTCCATTTTTAAAATGAGAAAACTACCAGATCAAATAACCAACCTAAGATCATTTGGCAACTAAACAGTAGTCTTGGCATGTAAATCTTGGTCTGACTTCATGTAAGAATCACATAAACATTGTTTGGATAATTAAATACTTTGTAGTTGATACCGATTGTGAATTGCTATGGGAGATGTTGGAGGTCATAGTGACCGAGTTTATAGCATAGTTGCATTCTAATTACAATATGTGATTTGGCAGGTAGTGTCCAAATCACTGTCAAGGATTTTGCTGTAATCCAAGTTGAAGATGTAAGTGGTAACAGGATACAGAATTAGTAATTAATGGTGAGGCTGGAGTGAACACAGGACAGCTTACTAGGTGGAAGGGAGGTTTCCCTCTGTCATGAGGATAGACTTAGGTGAGAGAGGAGTGAGTGGTAGAGAGCTTTTTGGTTGAAAGTAACCGTTTGGGTGTGAGATTGGCACATAGAAGACACTTACTACCTACTAGTAGTATGAATGAAGACTGGGCAGAAGGGGAGGTGTTCCTGTATGCAGATAATTTGGTAACGCAGAGATTGGTAATTCTCAGGTGACTTGAATGGTCTCAGCCCTTAAATCAGATATGGGAGTTCGGGGAACAGCTTGTGTGGTTCTGGAGTCAAATATACCAGTGGGTTGAGCCTGAATTTGCTTCTTTGGAGGCCAGTGACCTTAGCAGGTCACCTAACAACTGAAGTTTCGGTAGCCATTCACACCCAGTAGCGCTCCTGAAGGAAAAGGAAACCAACAGGCTCTTTACCAGGTACTTGACTAACATTATTTCATTAGATCCTTAACAACCACGCTATCAGAGAGTTCTTGTTCATTTCCAAGTTGTAGCTGGTGAAGGAGTTGGCCAAGATCACAGAGCTGATAACTGACTTTCAAACGTCGTCTGTCTGATTCTAAGTTCCATGCTCTTTCTCTTCTACCAGGAATGTCTTAGAGGTAGCAGGGGTAGTGCAATTTCCATGCAGACATTCGTAATTGCAATCATCTTTAATGTGGAACCTTGATTGAACTTAAGAATCTTTCTCAACATAATTCCAGGAACCCACTATCAGTGGATCTGTAAGATGAAACCGTTCTGCCATCTCTGTATAAGCAGACCATGCACAGCCCTCTCTACATGCCTTTATGTCATTGGTTGTGTTGGACTGCTGTGGTTTGTTTACATATTTCTACCACCACAGTAAACTCCCTGAGAAACAGGCATCTGTCCTTATAACCCTTTTATCCTCAGCTTCTCACCCAGGATATGGCTTATAAAAGGTTGAGTTAATACATTTATATGAGAGCTTCATAAAGAGTAAAACATTGTACGTTGTTTATTAGCTGCCCTTACTCTAGAAAAATTACTTGAGATACAGAAAGGAAGTCAGGAGTTAGCTGGATGAAGGAGGGAGGTAAGTCAGTTGCCCTGAGGGGAGGGATTAGAGACGTTAAGAAGGAATGGGTAGGGGAAGATGATTGTTGATAACAAAAATTAAACATTGCTAAACATTGATGATACAGACTACCAGTAATTGAGTGCCTACTATAAACATTTTCTCATCTCATTTTCTTAACAACTTTATAAGACAGTTACCGTTATCTTCATTTTACATATGAGGGAAATGAGACTCTGTTGAATCCAAAATCCATGCTCTTAATTCACTCTTAGCCTGAGCTGTCCTAAAGGCCAGCTTGAGTATTTGGCTTTGGTAGAAGGAGCGAAATGGAACCTGGAGTCTATCCTTGGTTCATGGTATTCACTTAGATAAGGGAAGTAGACGCTAAGCAGGTAGTTTGGGTAACAGATGAAAAAAAAAATTAGAATGGGCAATGAGTAAAGCTTAATTTCCAATTAATGACAGCTGTCAAACTCTGGCCTTGTTAAAAGTCAGTGTAGTGGGGGATAATGCTATTCACCTACATATTCATTAACAAGTGACCCCTCTGGATGGGTGGTGCTCACTATGAAGCTGGTTTATAATAAATTCTCCCTTTTGGGAAATTGGATTATAACCAGGTTCTCGTGTAATAACAAAGCCCAGTATGTAGTAATAAAATGCCAAGCTTCTGGAAGCATTTAGAATCTGGGATTACAGACGGATTCACTCCAAACCTTTGGTATTAGAATGAATCACTTAAACTGCAAGTCGTGACACGTAGACTCAAAATCATGGATTCAAGTCATTGAGATTCTAAAATAAGACAGTGAACGCAGCACAGGTGGTATGAGAATGATTCATGTGCTCATTTAGCGGCTCTTTGGTTATCTAGAGAATGAGGTAATTTACCACAAGGTTGACTCAGAGTTAGACCATAGTAATTTTCTTGTAGGGGTAGGTCTTAGGCATTGGGGGGTGGTGTCTTTAACTAGGGAGAAGCCACAAAGAGAAATTGCACATAGGTGTTTGGATGTAAACCAAGCCTTTTAATCTTAACGCAATGGATACATCCTCGCGCTGGAACTCTTTCACACATTGAACACCGAAGAACAAGACTGAGGAAGAATAAGCCTGGGTTTGGCCTCTTGCGTGATGTGTGTAAAGTGGGATTTTATTTCCCCTCTTCCCATTCTGTAAATGAATGCATGGGATTGGGGAGAGGCATGCAGCCCAGACTGCTCAGTGCAAACCCAGTCTGCTGTGATTAATGTCAGCTGCTGTGAAGTTGTGCAGCCAAATGCGTACATGAAAAGTGAAGCTTTGGGTTTTTGGTTTTGTTTCATATATATATATATATATGCATAGCAATGCCAAGAGTGACAGAAATAGAAGAGCATCACACTTTCCCCTGCCAAATGCATTAAATGTCCATAGGAGTTCACCCTAAAAGTATAATTTTGAACTTCATTTCTTAGTCACAAGTGGAAGTATCATTGTAGTTGCAATGCGTTTCAATGTCCCAGAAAAAGAAGGTTTATGAGTGGATAATCAGATAAGTTTTTTTCTTTACCCTCTTTGTTGCCCTGAGCTTTGCTCCATTTGTGCTAGTCAGTGCGTTTTCCTCCTGGAGTCCTGACAGCAGGGTTGACAGTGTGAGATGCCCCTTCCTTCTTCAAGCTAAATTACCGGATGTCTGCCAAGGCATTTGTTTACCTTGCTTTTTCATCACAATATCGAAGAGGTAGAGAGAGCTACCTTTCCCTATTTTATAGGTGAGAAACTGATCTATGTTACAGATAAGACCAAGGCTGCACAACCATTATAAGTCAAGTTAACCCAGGTCTAAACCAACCAACTGCCTCCCTCCTTCCCTCCCTCCCTCCCTCCTTCCCTCCCTCCCTTTTTCTTTACTTCCCTCCTTTCCATTGTGAAATATTTCAGACATACAAAATAGAGAATATAAGGAACACCCAACTACCCACTATCCAGCTTAAAACATAAGACATAAAGCCAGCTGAAGCTTTCTGAGGATGCTCTTTCTTTTACACCATGTGCCGGAACCACAGAGAGGGTTATTCACAAATCCTTCGGAAAGCTTTTAAACTGGATGGAACTTTTAAAAAGTTAGTGACTTAGAAATCTGACTTAAGAATCCAAAATGTGACAAAGAGAAGTAGGACAGTGCTGCCTTTGTCTTGAGAAGCATAAGATCTAACTGGGAATTGTACTAACAGGTTGAAAAGGGAAGGATTCTATAAAACAATAGAAATGAAGTATTTTGAAATGTGCCAAGTACTCTGATGGGGTGGGGAATGCAGAGGTGTGGTCCCCTTCCCCGAGGCGAAGAAGCTTATAACATATTAAGCTGAATGTTGTAGACCTTTGAGAGGTATTTCCTGAAAAGGGGACACATGCACATTTGGCTGATGTGGATGTACAATAGAAATTAATTAGACCGGACTTCCAAGTAGTAAATTTAAGTAACCCTGAGTTACACGGAGAAAGGGCACATGGTTCCCTCTTTTAAAAAATCCAAGCTGCTCTTTTAATAGAGAATAACAAAGTGATGAGTTAGTTTTTAAAAAATGTATTTTAAATGTCATTCTGAAGCAACCCAGGATAGCATAAGTCTTGATAGAAATCTGATGCCTTATTGGTGATTGCTCCAACGTAAATGTGTGTGAAAATGTAAGCTACCAGGTTGATATTAAGCAGTATATTTTCTATTATAATATGATGAGAAATGCCTAGACAATAAAATATTTTAAAAACCAACTGGGCTATTAATGCTTGGGATCCAGTTTTAAGTAATTGTAACGTCTTTACCTACAAACCTGGATTTGGTGTGGGTTTCCTCGGGAATCACCAGGGTACTTCCAGCAGATGTCTGTTGCATACACAAGTGTTCGCCCCAGAGCACAGGTAACTTCGGAGCCATGGGGCAAAGTCAGTGTCACCAATTGCACTCCAAACTCCAGCCAGTGCAGGCTGCTGGAGCCAAGGCTGTGTGTCAGGTTTTACAGTCAGGCTCAGGTTTCACTGTGGATTTCAACAATGGAGCACCTGTCTCCAGGGAAGGGAATAAGAGATTTATGCAACTACTAAAGGAATGCTTGCAAATATACTCTGTTGTTGCTAGATACTGATCCTGTGTGGATGCCTCCCCAGTAGCCTGGTAACACTCGTGGACCCTTGAAATTACTTTGTTCCTGTCTGAATAAGGGAAGGAGGCTTTTTGCAAGTTGAGACTGATAGTTTAGTGATAACTAGTCCTATCAGTTAGGTCTCTTTGTGTGTGTATGTGTGTGTGTGATTGTTGTTATTTGTTTCAAGCAACAGGAGCTCCGTCTCCAAATGACTTAAAAAGGGGATTTATTGGCTCACATAACTAAAAAAGTATAGAATAAGACAAGGAAGGGCTAAAAAGTGTCTACACCTAGTCTCCATCTTTCTGTTTCCCTCTGTGCTGGCTTCATTCTTAGGTCCTCATAGTGGCTAAGACAGCTGCTAGCAACTCCATCCTCCATTCACACAGTTCTAAACCAAAGCCCTGGGTGTCACTTTTATCGAACTGGCTTGGGTCACGTGCCCATTCCTAAACCAGTCACTCTGACAGGCCCGGAATGCAGTAATCTGGTTACCATGACAGTGTCACATGCCCAGCCCTGGAGTTGAAGGTAGAGTCAACACCATTTAAACCAATGCTTTTCAAACTGTGGTAAAGGAACATTTTATTTGTTTTAATTTCCAAATACAGATTGGTTCTTTGACTCTACGTTCTTCAACAAGACGAGTTCACTGGTCATGCTCTTAATTGTTGTGGCATAAAATTATATAAAAGTGTCTACATGCTTACCTGGATTTTGTCTTGAATTGGTAACAAGCATGGTGGACCATCACCAGGAGACCACATTTAATAAATACTTCTCTAAACCACATGGGCCGAGAAAGAGATGGTTGCTTTCCTAAAGAAAATCTGGGAAAGCATTAACCAGAAGAGGGACAAGAGACTGAATGACGGTCCCAGAAAGATGCCCAACACAGTGATTCACTCTATAAATCTTTCTTTTGGAGAGGCCTCATCGCATGTTCAGGAAGCCGTTGGGTTCTGGAAGTCTTAATGTTGTAGGATGGGACCTTACCATCCTCCTGTTTATTTTAAGGATGGAAGATACCTCAGTTTAGGCTTAGTAGCCCTCCTATTCCCTTCTTTTTCTAGCCAGGTTTGAGTTAGTGAAGTGGTTTCAGCTTTCTTAACCAGCTATTTCCTAGAGAGGCAAGCCATTCATCCGAGCAGGCGTAACAGGCAGGGGCTGCAAATACCACTCACAGAAGGGAAGTCTGAAAATGATGGTGGGGTTAAAAGAAATTTTTTTGCTGTGTTTTTACATTCTACTCAGGGCGGGGCAGACACAATACACTGTCCTTGCTGGATGGATGGCCTTCTGTCCCAGCAAGGGTACTTGTGTCCGTTGGCCATTCAGAACTATGCATTTAAACTGGGTCCAGGTAGTCCAACTCATTGAGAAGCAGATTAGAACCTGTTGTCCGTACCTCAGAGCAAGATGGCAGGGATTTCAACTTCAAGCTATCACCACATCAGGCCCCACTGCCCAGAGGTCATTCTGACACACTCCACAAACAGGTCACTTTGACCGGAAGGGATCTTGGTAGCATGTTCTGTATGGACTGACAGCCGGGTCCAAGAGGGAAAGCCAGCTATTGGCTGGACGAGAGGACCCTGGGGTTAGGGAGGCACAGAAATTTAAATGTAGACATCTGAATGGATGTTTGTTGTGGTTACAGCAAGCCTCCATACGTGCCGTCGTGCTAGTCACAGATACAACTATGTATGCTATAATCTCACATAACTTAAGTAGGCAAATATGAAACTTGTTCTTGCAGAGCAATACACTTTCTTCCTCCCTAGAAAGTGTGTCATAGTTCGTATATGTTCAGTGTTAAGAACTGGGTGGTGTCACAGTAAATTCAACATAATAAAAATCTCCACCCAAGCGTGAGTTCTTCGGCTGAATTGGTTTGTGATGACTGGGTGTGTGTGTGTGTGTGGGGGGGGGGTGGCAGGGGGTTGTGTTTGCCGTTCCACTCTCCCCTCTCCTTTCCTACCTCCTGGGGATTCCAGGGGCGTCGTTTGTTTTGTGGCTGGTGACCTGTACTGTTGTACTGAAGGCAGGTCCTTTGTCCTATAGGGAAAAAAACGGGAGTATGACAAGCCGCAGCTTCCTCATGAGAGACCTGTAATTTAGGAGAGATGAGGTTATTTTGGAGGCACGCAGGCCTTTAAAAGATGTGGTCAGAGCGGTTCATATAGTAACAAACTCTGCAGCTGTCCCCTGGGTTTAGGCAGCCCCGTGGGGAGCCTGGAAGACATATCCCAGGCTATGCGGACAGTCTCATGAGTCCTTTATTCCTTCAGGATGCCCGTCTGGGGAGGTGGAAACAAGTGCGGCGCCTGCGGGAGGACTGTGTACCATGCGGAAGAGGTGCAGTGCGACGGAAGAAGCTTCCACCGCTGCTGCTTCCTGTGCAGTAAGTACCTCCCGGTGCTCAGCCGGGGGCAGAACTTGTGTGTAAGAAGCCTCCTTTACTTCCTTATGGGAAAAATTGTGGTTTTTGTTAACAAAGATGATTTTTAGAAGCACAAGTGGTTTTTACTTGTCTGTTCTCCCCGACATTGTAAGTACTCAACCTACCAGCAAGGACAGCAGGGTGACCCAAGATACTTGGCCTTCTGTGTCCCCATAGCTCTTAGCCTCCACTTGGCATTTACTATGCTTTATTTATTATCACATCTGTCTCGCCCGCCTGGTCCACTGAGAGCTCAGTGTGGTCTGTCGTCTGGCACCCAGCACAGTTCCTGGCACATTGTATAGGCTTGGCTCTGGTTTCTGAGTGACAGAATGGCTCCCCACCCACCCCAGCTTTATCTTCCTGGCTGGGCTCCTTTTCTTTGAAACTGCCTTGCTTGTGTCTCAGCACATTTTTAGTTCAAATTCAGAAGTCTAGAAGCTCAGTTTCTCTAGAAGCTCAAATTCTGTCTTCTCTGGTAGTGACTATTCAGAGTTGTTTCTGGTTATTGAGATCCTAAATTTGAGGGAAAGGAATTTAGGATATGAAAATCCCATTGAGGCAAGATGGGAACTACCATTGTTTCTAGATGGAAAATTAATCAGTGTGTCTGACACAGACCGGAAGTAGGACATAAAACAGCACATGTCGATGTGCTCAGAACACAGAAAATACCTGATAACGAGAGAAACAGAACATGAGAGAAGGCCCTTCGCCCCTGTATATTTCCTCTAATGACAACTAAGTTTTCAGTTTTAAAATAGGAGAGTAGCCACTTCAGAAAGCTCTTCATTTATCATCTTCTGATTCAAATGACATTTTCTTTAATGAAGGATCTGTTACATGAGGAACCCACCCATATATGCAATTATTTGATCTATAGTTCTGTTTAGTGAAAGTTAGCTAGAAACTGCCTATGTTCAAAATAAATTTGGCTACACTAAGAAATAATCTTCAGAAAAAACTTTGGCACCTGCTTTGCGGAGAACTAGAAACAGACAACAAAAAGTCACAGCTACAAAGGATAAAAACACAACATATGGATGTTTGCTATGTATGCCTCCATGGTAGCTACCATTTCTCAGACTTGGTTTAACCCTTTCTTCTAAGTTTTTTGTTTGTTTGAGGAATCTTTTTCAGTAGGTTTGCAGCCAAGAGTATGTGAATATAGAGCAAATGCTTAGAGATTGTTCTTAGTTTCATCTAGGTTAAGCCATGATGTCTCCGCCATAATCAAGTCCATGTTTATGAAATGTCAAGTTCTTGACTGGTCATTACATACTACTCCTTCCTAACATTTGTCTCTGCTGACTAAAGCCCATTAAAAAAATAAGTCAGAGTAGTTTGAATACGGGTGAGGACTGGGGGAAGGAGGTGGTTACATAGTAAAATTTTCATATGCTTAAATTTGCTTTGGTTATTAGATGTGTTTTTCAAAATAGCTTTTATGTTCATTTATATTTATTCTGTCTGTCTGTTCTTCAGCAGTGGAAGGTTTTAGGTTAACTAATATCTTTTAGCAAATATATATTGGTACTTGAGTCTCAACAGCAAGGTTCCAGAGCAGGTGATTTCATTCTATTCTAGAAGACTTTGGTCTAAGATAATAGAAACTTCATAATTTATCTCTATTTTCAGCCAGCTTGTTGCGTTCATAATTTCCCTTCCCATTTCTCTTTCTTTCCTTCCCCCTTTTGTTTCTCCTCCTCTTTTAAATGAGGGAAGGGAAATCCCCTTTTCTACTGCTAATCTTGGAATTCCAGCTGCCCAATTGTGCTACCAATGAGCTCCCTCACAATTTCTTTGTTTCTTCAGCTTAATTGAAGTTTTAGAAAGTGAAATAATGTCTGGATAAAACATGATGACATTTGGCAATTTTATGAAGTGGGATCTGTGGAGATGTCTTGTGGGAAGAAATCCATCAAGAAAGAATGCATCCTCCTTTGGGACAGAAGGGAAAACAAAGCCGACTAAACCACTTGATGATTTTCAGACATACTTACCACTCCTGGAGAAGCTGGTGGCGAGAGACTAATACTTTTTCTCTTCTAGGCTAGTGATGAAAACTAGAATTCTGGTTTGAAAATGGTTTTTATCCCACAGGGTACTTTTGGGAAGATGGGGCTGCAGAGGCAATTCTCCCAAGGCCTTCAGCCACCCTTTTGTTAGGTTGTGATTTAACAATATTTGGTATGAAGAAGCTGAAAAGATTTGATTGTTGCGAGTTTGGGAGCAAAGTGTTAGTTTTGTCCCTTTTGTGTGTAATTACAGCCATCTCAAACTTCTCTCCCTCCTGCCAGAGAGGCAAATCATATTGGAAAGTCTGAGACTTCAGGATGTTAATATTCTGATATATTTTCTGAAACAACTGACATATCCATGGAGGAAGGCAAATAGTTGTCAAATGTGGCTGACCCGTCCAGACGCTGTCTCATGCCTTTTGGGAAACCACAGGATAAACTAGGCACGTGGGACAGCATGGGCTTTTACCATTTGTAGATCATGTGTCTGTGTCACCATTGTTCTCAGGAAAAAGGTATCTTTGCCTCATTTTTAAATTCTAACTATTTCCCCCTCAGTGGTTTGCAGGAAAAATTTAGATAGCACCACGGTGGCAATTCATGATGAAGAGATCTACTGCAAATCCTGCTACGGAAAGAAGTATGGGCCAAAAGGGTACGGTTATGGCCAGGGTGCTGGTACGCTCAACATGGACCGGGGCGAGAGGCTGGGCATCAAGCCAGAGAGGTGAGTGAGGACCATGTCTGCTGCCTTCAGAAATGAGTTGTAATAGTTGATGTTGCTTGGTGAACAGGAATCTGGGAGTTTTCAGATTTTTAGCTTAAATAAACTAAAGGACTCGGATTTTCTGGTATAAACTACTGACTATTCTTTAAGCTCAAAATATTGACAGTTTGGGACCTAACGAAGTAATTTTTCCAGTGATTTCTAGTCCTGGTTTGAGAGCATTCCAAGGTGTATCAAGGAGTCATGATGTTCTCACAATCAAGTGGTTTAAATTTAATTCCATTTCCCAGAACTTTGGAGACCAGATGTCATGAAATCAAATGATAAAGAAATGTGGCATCTGAATCATGAAATGCATTTCTCATGTGCAACTAAGCGATCAGTGAAAATTCCTCAGTCATTCCTTTCGTTTAAGAATATTTTCTCATCAGGAAATGACTTTTCTCTAACTTAAAATTACTGAAAAATTGATTTTTTTTCCTGTTTTTGATTCTTTGAGACATTAGTGTTAAACTTTAAAGCTTTCAGTACAAAACTAGTGAGGTGCTAAGTCTGCTAACCTTCACTTGATCATGCTATATCATTTCTTTTTTGGGAATTTCCTCTTCATTTCTGTTTTTGACCCAATAATTCCCTCATTTGAACTTCACATTTTTCCACATCCATTTTATACTGAAGAGGCAAAATTGGTGTAATACCCTAATAAGCTGGCCTTCCCCTGGACAGGACATTATCATGCCCTTCCTATGGGCTGGACACCATGCAGTATTAACATATGTTAGCTCATATAAACTTCTCAACAACCCTACAAAGTATGGTTTCCCATCTTACTCAAGAACAAATTGAGACAGTGAGAATTAAGTGATTTGCCTAAAGTCACACTGCTAGTTAATTGTAGACCTGGAACTTAACCTAGTGTAACTCCAAAGTTTATGATTGTAAACATGGTACATTATGGCATGACTGAAATAATAAGGATTGATTGCGTATTGTCTGCTGAATATTTATATTCATTATACATAATCCTCAGTTACTCTGAGTTTAGGTACTTTGCGCTGATTTTATAGATAGGACACTAAGCTCAGGTCACACAGATAAGTGGCAGAACCAGGATTTGAACCTGTGTCCATTTGGCTCCCAAACCTGTGCTCTTTCCACAGCAGTGTGTACTACATGGAGGCCCACCTTTCTCTCTGTTCTAGAGTTTTTTCCACACTCAGGGTTTCTGAGCCATGGTGCCTTATTATGACCAGTTGTGCAAGGGCCGACTCATTCATTGCTGTGTGCCATAACAGCAGCCCAGCTTACCTTTGTCTTAGTTCAAGTTCATTGTTCTTGTTCCGCTCTCCTTTTCCAACCGGTTAAAATTCACTCATTCCCCAAGATCTTACTTCAAACCTTTCAAAACATATATTTGTGCACCTTCCCCCAAACAAAATCAAATTCATCCATGATGCCAAAAGTAGGTCAGTCTGCGGCCATAGTTCCCACGTCAGAAAGACCAGTGGACCTTCCGCTTTTCTACCCCTCCTTCCACACTAACTGGCAAGCCCTGGGTGCGGCCTGTCTCATCCGATGCCCCCGCCCCTTACCCTCCTCAGCCTGGCTACAGGCCGCTTATCCTTCAGGCGCAGGTGTAGGGATTTCCTGTGCCTAGACTTCCAGTGACGAAACTCTGGGAGCACCCATGGTCTGGACCATCCTCGTGGCGCAGTTATGGGGACCAAGCACTTCCCCAAGGATCTCCTGGAGAGGCGCACTGAGTGGGCAGGAACATTTTCACTGAGGCTGACCTGCATGTCTCAGTTCAGGCTCACCAGTTTACTAAATCTGTAGCCCTTCAGCAAATTAACATTTCTTCATCTGTAATATGAGATAACACTTATCCTTACCCTACAAAGTTGTTAGAATGCGGGCGGGAAAAAATGTGTGTGACGTTCTTATTAACATAATCAGTGACAGATTTGGAAATTTTTGTTGGGACACTCATAACTGGAAGTATTGGCTATCACTGTGAGTAGCTCTTAAAAGTAAGTATATACAGGAGGTTGTGAAAACATTTTTAAAAATATGCCTATACTAGGGACAGTGGGAAAAACCAATACTGTGAATTAGTACTGTGAAGTGGCATTTGTTGCTTAGAATAAAATTTCCAGTGGTCATCACATCAAACGTGGTTAAAACAAAGCGGTGTAGTGTTTTTCCAGTAGGAAAAATTGATAATTAGTTACCATTTGCTGAGTGCCAACTGTTGTTGTATCTCATCTGCTCCACTAACTTACAAAGTTCTATAAGGACCTTTAAATCTTCTGAGAGCCCAGGATGGTGTTTGGCATAGTAGGTGGGTGCACCTACATACTGAATACAACAACCTGTAATAGTGACAAAAATACCACTCAATCCAGAGAAAAAGATAAATAGATCACATAGTAATAGGCAAATTTTCTAAAATATTTTCCCACAAAGTGGTATATTCACACTTTCCCCTCCTGAAGATATATTGCAAAATCAATTAGTAAAACATGCTTAACTTCCTTGATAATAGACTACTTGAATCAACTGACCTCTAAGCAAAAGCTGCTTAAGTTAACACTGATTATTCGGTCTCATGTGAAGTAAAAAGCTTGATGTGATTCTCGTGGCACTAATATGACTCTGGGTTAAAAATAAATGCTTGATAGGGTTTTATAAAGCACAGTGTAATATTATAGTTTGGTGGAGAGGCTAGCCCTGGGGATTAAATGAATTTTGATGAGTGTAGACTTAGAAGGACAGATATTTAAGTTTGGGTCTTTTTGTAACAATAATGAGCCCATAAACAGATTAAAGTAATAACTCTGTCCCACACCTGAGATTAATTTCTTCTTTCTTCCTCCCCCTCTGTTGGCCCATGAAGGCCTCCAGCCATGAGATGGTAAAGCATTATGCCTTAGAGTTCCCTTGTTGCCCGCCTTATGGACTTATAAAGGGCTCGTTGGAAAATCTAATTTTTTTTTCTCCTTTCCACAAGTGTTCAACCTCACAGGCCTACAACAAATCCCAACACTTCTAAATTTGCTCAGAAATATGGAGGTGCTGAGAAGTGTTCCAGATGTGGGGATTCCGTTTATGCTGCTGAGAAGATAATTGGCGCGGGAAAGGTAGAGTGCTCCTTTTCATTAATGACAGCTTTGCTCCTTGCCTTCCTTTCACCCTCCACATCCCCCTCAGGCACCCTGTCTTATAAATAAAGGCCTTGGATTAAACTTGTTCTTAATTGCTTTTCCGTCGGAATCATTACTCTTTTGAAGTGCTGCCCGTATTTGACAAATCACATCTCTGTCTAAAAGTTGTTGTCATAGGGGGCACTCCTGAAGGCTGTTAAAAGGCCAGGCTGTTAAGAAATCTGTGGACGCTGCAGGTTATTTAACGTAGCAGGAAAAAAAGCAGTGAAGCAGAGTCCAGACAGCCAGTGCTGATTTGGTGGGTGGATTTGGAAGTTACTTCCAGTCACCTGAGCTGCGGTGTTCTCTGCTGTAAAGGAGACAGTCTTTCAAGGTCATGCCAGGACTGTGAGCAGGTCTCAGACTGCTCTTAGGAAAATGACCTTTCACGGTCCAGCTCCTGGCCCATGTTTTCTAGGAATGAAGTCTCAGCTCAGACCTTCTGTAGGTGACCAAGAACGTAGACACTGGGAGGTCAGGTCCAGCCTTCTGGGTGGGGGGGTTGGTCCACAGCAGACAGGAGCTCACTTTGGGTTGATCTTCCTGAGCATCTAAATGGTGCTACAGGAAACCGCCTCTCAAACTTACTCATTTGTGTCTTCCAGCCCTGGCACAAAAACTGTTTCCGATGTGCCAAGTGTGGGAAGAGTCTTGAATCAACGACTCTGACCGAGAAAGAAGGTGAAATCTATTGTAAAGGTAAAATTAATTTCAGTTATTGCTCTCCATATGACTATTCTGTCCTTGGTTAATGAGATGTCACCCGCATTAAAAAGAAAAGCACAAAGAAAAGTCCTTTGAAAATGGGAGAAAGGAGGGATAGTGTCACTGGCTATTTGAAAATAAAAGATCTAGAGATGCTTACAGATAACAGAAAACCATAGAACAATCTTAAATGATACAATAAAGTTGCTGATCATGTAAAACTCCCCTACCAATAAAAACCCCATGACAGTCTTCTTTCAACTTCATTTTAAGCAAAGCCTAGGCGTATATGCTTTATAGACAAATACATAACTTGCCTGGCCTGATTTTCATGCTTGTAACTCAGTGGGACCACGAGCTAGATACTAGCGAGCCAGAATGCTTGGACTTGGCCCTCGCAGTTATATTTACTACGAGGCACATTTTTACATCTTAAATAAGTTGAACTCTTTTTGGCGTAGCCAACAGTTTGTTTTATAATTTATGGGGGTCTGTTGTTGCGTGGGTCTTAAGCAATGCTAGCAGAGCTTAATGGACTTATACTAACTCTCCCTCTTCTTTTGTAGGATGCTATGCAAAGAACTTTGGGCCCAAGGGATTTGGCTATGGCCAAGGAGCAGGAGCGCTTGTTCACGCTCAGTAACAGTGTGAACCTGCAACGCAGATCACACATTGAGAATCTCTACATAATCTAGGCACAGATAATCTAACACTAAACTACTGTGAAACTCTACCAGCATTTACGTACTGTACATTGCCCTCTACTTGGATAGGCTGGCTTACTCGTAGGAAGAGAGCACTCTATCCTTTTGCTTTATTCATCAGCATTTTCAAGAACCATTTCTTTTACATCTTAAATAAATCTGCAGCTTGATTTGGGTGTTCAGTATCTTGCAGTTAATCTTTTTGGAAGAGTTACTGTGATTTCAGTTAGTAGAGAATCCTTCAGGTCCTGACCTGAATTTTATTCGTTAAAGAGAGTCCATCCGTTACCCAGTTGACTCACTAGGTTAATGTGTGTGTTACAGCTGTTGGGAAAGATCTCATTTTAGACGGCAAGTATGCCTCAAGAGTGAGGGTTACTAGGAAACAGGCCTCACCATTCAGACTCCTCAGAACAAGCACCTCCTGTGGCTCCGTGGTCTCTGCAGCAGTTTCCTTAAACATGGCTCCTAGAAATCACCGGAAGTGGAATCTCTGGGGGCAAAGCCACGGCCCTTCTAACAAGCTCCCCAGAAAGGCGCAATGACCTAGGGGTGGGCACACGGTGAAACATAACACTTAAAAATTCCAATGATTTCTCTCCACCTCAAGAGATATTACAAACCGCTGCCTAACGACAACTATAGAATCTGAGGCTTGAGGTGACTTTTTAGACTCCCCACTCTACTGCTAAATCCTGGAAACGAGTGCTTTTCTCACACATTTCAATTCTGCATCAGTAGCAAAGAATGTTGCACTGACCTGGCACATTCAGCTGGCTCAGGGTAGAAAAGGAGCCTTAGACTATTTAAGGAGTGTTTTCATTATTTTCCCAGAAAGTTTTAGTTCTTTACCAGAGACTCAATCCAACCTTTTATTTTCCAGGGGCAGTGTGTGAAATCCATCTGTGTTTCAGTAAAGTTGAACCAGCTTGATCTGTGAACACATCTTACTCTTTTCCAAAACCTGTCTTAACATATTATATTGCTTACTTTGAAAAGTGAAAGGGGAGTGTGTTACATCAAAAAAACAAAAAAAAGCAGACCCTTAGTGGGAAGAAGCCGAATGAGGGTGTAGCTGGTGAAAGAATTCATGCTTCTTTACTTTACATCATAGCCTTGAGCACTTCACTCGTGAGTTCCTCACGCCATGTCAGTTCCATTGTGGAAGAGGGGTGGGCCTTTTCCTTAAGCAGGCTGGAAAAGTTAATCGGCAATAAAGGAGATAATTATGGAGTAACTTCTAATATGTAGTAGTTTTAAAAACACCTACAAATTCTCTGGCATTCCCATCAAAAGATGGGGACTAATTTCCTTCCCTTTCAATAAAGGCAACGTTGGTGACTCATTTTTAACTAACAGAATTTGATGGACAAGGCTAGGTTTAAAAACAAGACAATACAGATTCTGCCTGCCTTTCTCTTAGGATGCTTACTTACTCTAGGAACTCAGCCACCAAACTTTGAGGAAGCCTAGACTACACAGGGAAGCCACATGTGGTATTATGGCCACAGCCTCAGCTGAGATCTCCCAACAGCCTGTATCAACCATCACACATGTGAGCCAGCTTTCAGATTATTCCAGTCCCCCGTTTTTGAACCATCCCCACTGACACCAAGTAGAGCAACATGAGCTATTCTTGTTGAATCCTGACCAAATTGCAGAACAAAATACCATTTTAAACAATGAAATTTAGAGGTGGTTTGAGGCAGTAATAGATATGCAGAATGTTATATACCGGGGATGCCAACAAATTGTACACATTTTAAGAGATGTTACCTATGTATTACTTTTTGAAGTTGAATTGAATTACGGTAGCAATGTTTAGTATGACATTCACTCAAAAGACAGCATTAATCAAATGAATGCTAGCATCATTCATTGTATTACAATTTTAATAGTTTTTTCTTTCTTAAAATGTATATACATTTTTTTGGCACCCTCTGTATATTAAACTGTTCCCCACACAGAGCCACCATTTTCCTCACTATGCCTCCCACGTTGTATCAGAGATGCTAGTAAATGTCCTAGAGGAAAATACTCTAAATGAAGTTGCCAGGTGCCTGGTAATTTGAGATTTCTGCCTGATAAACAATGTAGACATCCATTCATAATTAAAATTACTCTTAAGTTGGGAGCCCTGGCAAAATAGCTACTCCCAAACTGTCAGGTTTCCAGCGGTTTCAGGAGTGGGGAAGAGAATTTGGCTTTGGGCAGACTCTTCTGGAATTACTTTCATAATTTGGATGTAAATCGACAGGGTAGCCCCAAAGTAATCCAATTGTGAGATTAAACTGCTGCATGATAAATATATACATTTTTTATTTTAAAAACGACCCGTTTGGGATATTTTCACCGCTTGTGGTGATTTGGTGGATTTATGGAGGACTACTGACAACTTGGGTTCCAAACGCCTTCTGATTAAGTTTAGGGAGTGCTGCAGCTGTATTCCTCTCTCTGTATATATTCCTGTAGATTCACAGTGTGCACGAGCATGTTGAAGGCCTTGAGACCCTGTGGTTGGGAAGTTTCTTGTAACTTGAAAGCCTTACACTAAATCAGTTTTCCATGGAACCATTAACATCTTAAGGAACACTGGAAAATGCTGGTCTGAACCACTGGTTCTCAAACTTTTTGGTCTCTGGACCCCTTAACTTTTAAAAACTATTGAAGACCCCAAGAGCTTTTGTTTATGAGTTGTATCTACCAATATTTTCCATAGTAGAAATTAAAATTATGTATATATATAGTCTCAGACTTACACTTATAGCTAAATTGAACAGGCACTAGATTTGCCCTCTCAGTTGAAAAGCCCAAAAACACAAATTTACATGAAAAAAATGTTTTTGTGACACTGGATAATAGACAAAGGACAGTGATGGGGAAAATAAGGTCAGTCTTAGGATGAGCAAAGTTGACTGCTTTGAGAGTTTCCACGCTTTAGTGCAAGGGGGGAGAACACAGGTGGACCTAGAAGGCATCCTGAGTTACGGAGATAAAGCTGAGAGTCCAGAGGGACTAAGGTGGCTAGAGTTAGAGTTGAGGGACTAGAGAGATGCACAGAGAAAGAACTCCAGAAATATGCAGAGCACAGCCCAACCCTCACCTCGCAAGTCTTCAGCTGAGTTCTGAAACACACACAAGGTGACTACCCAAGACCATGGAAAAAACCCATCTGAAAGACACAAGGACATGTCTGGTGCTCATATGAAGCTGGGAATAGTGCCTAGTCTTATCAGTGAGATGGAGAAACGTGATTCATGGGCTCTGGATGGAGTACACATTCTCAGGGATGGGGAATAAGTAACCCTAAACTGAACACTACAAATCTTGGTTAACAGCAAAACCTGAAAAGATCAGTTTCCAAATAACTGCATCCTAGAATAAAGCTCTGGAATTTTTATAGGAATACAAAATTATCCAGCCCTCAGTTCATAGTGTCTGGCATCATCACATCACCAATCAAACGTTACCAGGTATGCAAAGAAGCAGGAATACGATCCACAATAAGAAAGAAAAAAATCTATCAAAACCAACCAAGACCTGACAGACATGTGAAAATCAGCAGGTAAGGATATTAACAAACTTCATTATAGCTACACTGCATTTTCAAAAGTACAAATAGGGAAGGTATAAAAATGGTCCAAATCAAATATTGCAGGTGAAAACAATAATGTGGAAGATGAAAAATACACTGAATGGTTATCAACAATACAATATAGAAAAAAATTTAAGTGAATTTAAAAGCATAAAACTATCCAAAATAAACACTGGGGAAAAAAGAGAATTTAAAAACTGAGTTGGGTCAGTGAGCTGTGGGACAGTCTCAAGTGGCATAACATATGTGTAACTGGCATTTCTTGAAAGGGGGAAGGAAAAATATTTGAAGAAATAATAACTGAAAACATTCCCTAATTTGATGAAAACTATAAATATACGGATCCAAGCAGCAGCAGCAACAATGAGGCTTTCTGATGCTTTGAAAGGAAATAGTCCCTCTGAGTACTAAAACCATTACTGTTTGTTAGAAAGGATTTTTCCATCTAAGTCAAGAGCTGATGACAGATAGTCTGGTAAAACTTGAGCAAAACATTCATGCTCCAAAGGCAAAGAGTTTTCTAAGAGATATGGCTGGTTTCCTTATTTGTATTTAGCTGACCAAGATCAGGGGACATTCTGAATGTTCCACTTGGAATTACAGATTTTCCTATCTTAAGTCACATAAAGGTATTTAATAGAAAACTCTTATACCAAGAACTTTATGAAATTGAAGGTTTACTTCCTGACAAGCTAAGATTCCTTGTCCTGGTATGTAATACTCATTTCCAATTACCTCTATAAACTCTTAGAACCAGACATCCATATCATAGGTACAATCTATCAATCTGGGAAGGATTTGGGGGGGGGGGATGATGCAAATGAGTAGATAATGAAGAAAAGTACCTAACTGGAATGAAAACTGATAGCTTGCTGTAGAATTTGTTTTACTTTATATACTTGTTCAAACTATTACTTGAGCTCTGGAGGCATTACTTTCAATATTATAAAGTAATTATGAAATGAGTATTCAATATGAAAATATTTAATACTACTGGGTTCTCAATTAAACCATAAACAATCATGTAAACCACAGGAAAGGGTTCCTTCATAAGTTTTCCTTTTAAAAATTTCCAAATAAAGAAGCTTTGTTATGCATAGCTTCTCAAGTAACTAATATCAATGTTTGGTAGGTTTCCTTTTCCAATATTTTACTATAGTGTCTTTAGACATACTAATATTTAAAACTTGGTGATTCATCCAGTCCCTGAGGATCCTAATTAACTCCATAGAATCCAAAATTCTTACAGAAAAATGTATTCTCTTTATTAAAAAAATATTAATTACACACACAAATACACACAAAATTGGAATTGTTTTAGAATACCATTACCTTTTACTTTCGCAAATTTCTACAGTCTTGCAACTTGAATCCTAGTTGACCCCGATATAAATATATAGAATAATCTTTTCATATCATAGGTACCACTACGAATGTTTCATCAGTTTCTTGAAGCGAATCGAGTGAAATAAACAAGCACACATTTAAGAGTCAATATTTATTCTGATTAATATTTTACAAAATTTTGACAGGTTTAATTTATGTAAGGAGAACTAATTTATTAAACACTTTACAGGTTTTCCTTTCCAC